TCCTACCAAAAACACACCTTAAGGGATTTCCTGAAAAATATTTATTTATAAATTATTTTACACTAAGAAATTGGCCATGTAGACCACAAGGATCGCTCATTGTCATTGGTTTGTTTTTGATTCCAGATGCCAAATGGGTCCTCAAGGCCGAATGAAGTTATTTCACGTGTTTTCTGGTCACGCTAGGATCGAGAACATGGTAACGAAAGGTCATATCAGCGGCAGAACATTATTAACTTCGCAAGAAAACGAGCGATGAGGTCATGCCCGAGCAGCACATGGACGTGGACTTCCCACGCACAGCGCAAGTGCAAGTGTACTTCACTGTGGGCACGCGCTACGAGACCGCCATCTTCCGATCGGACATACCAACTGAAGAGCTTAAAGGTCAGTAAATGCATTATTTATAATAAAAGGAAACAACAATAGTTGTCTGACCTTGAACACTCCAGATGAACTAATAATACTGTCTCAATAAAATGTCAGTAATAAGGGGCGGTTTTTTCCCCGTGTTGGTACAAATTGTGGCGGAAACAAAAATATAAAAAAAAACATTAAAATTAAATAACGGATAAAAGGCAGACGTACGTAGCCTATGTGAGGATTAAGAACTTAAGGAATGTAATGTCTTCAGCACAACTTCTTCCTAAAATTTTCCCAAAGCATCAGAATTTTGAAATACCTGAATCTCGAAATTCGAATGATATTCTGCTTTGAAATTCGGATATCTTGAAAATTTAATATGCTATGGCAATTCTGGGATCAAATTCGGATACTTCATTGGATAATATATACATCAAGAGCGATTACCCCTTTTTCGTTCAGTAATCATACCTAAGAATATTTCGAAGATTACATTCTTAGCCAAAAATGGTGGCAGGAGTATATTGACCAATGTTGAAATATGTACACTACGTTATGTATTTAAAGCTAAAGAATTAGAAGGCATTCATGGGATGTTTCTTTGTCCTCTTTGTAAGCTTCTAATACCTTCAATAGTCAATGTGAACAACTTTCATTCATCATTTTATGTAATGTTTAATCGGTGATACTAGCAAAACGGCAAGAATATATTTTGTATTATACAAATAGAAAATACGTTTGGATAAATAAAATACAAAATGCTTTTCTCAAAAAAGTATCCATTTAAATGCAAGATAAAAATAGGTATTTTTTATTTTGTTTTTGAATTTTAAATGTAAGTATTTCAAATAAATCACATTTGGTATCGCTACACCTCAATAACACGGATTTCAATTAACACGGTTCAAACGCGTAACACAGTTACACAGTATTCACAACACTAAAATAACACGATAACAATAATATATCATGGTGTGAAAATGGGGCTGCAATATCTAAAAGGAATTCTACTACTAAACGAAATTCCTGACACAACAAAATATTGCTAAAACACCGCATTCCAATAACACAAACTTCAAATAACACTTCGCAGAAACACAAACGAGGTGTTCATATAACATTTTCACTGAAATAACACGGTTCCAATACAACGNCCAGATTTATTATGAGATAACCGGAATATAAATATAATACAAAAATCGATGAACCTTGTATATCCCAATCACCCCACTCACGGTTACCTCACAAACTCGTTCATAGAAAATATACAGGGTACAATATACAGACATGTGTGACTATAATCCTTAACAACTATTAAACGAAATCCCTAACACAATAAAATATTGCTGCATTTCAATAACATAAACTTCAAATAGTACTTCGTGGAAACACAAAAAGGGTCTACAGTCATTACAACTAATTTCACATATCCCCGACTTTTCTAAGAATGGAATTTTATCCTTAGGGTTACCAAGGAGAGTTTGAATGGAGTTACCATTTGAACTGTAAGCAATCCGTAAACCAAGTTTTCGAAAAATACCCTCGAGTCCGCGAGTAAATCTTGGCTCGTATTACATTTATAAAAATAAACAAATTGTTCTTAACAATGACAACGGTCCTATCCCTGGATCTCCGCTATTTAGTCTAGTTTAATTGGAGTATATTGACCAATGTTGAAATATGTACACTACGTTATGTATTTAAAGCTAAAGAATTAGAAGGCATTCATGGGATGTTTCTTTGTCCCTTTTGTAAGCTTCTAATACCTTCAATAGTCAATGTGAACAACTTTCATTCATCATTTTATGTAATGTTTGATCAGTGATACTAGCAAAACGGCAAGAATATATTTTGTATTATACAAATACAAAATACGTTTGGATAAATAAAATACAAAATGCTTTTCTCAAAAAAGTATCCATTTAAATGCAAGATAAAAATAGGTATTTTTTATTTTGTTTTTGAATTTTAAATGTAAGTATTTCAAATAAATCACATTTGGTATCGCTACACCTCAATAACACGGATTTCAATTAACACGGTTCAAACGCGTAACACAGTTACACAGTATTCACAACACTAAAATAACACGATAACAATAATATATCATGGTGTGAAAATGGGGCTGCAATATCTAAAAGGAATTCTACTACTAAACGAAATTCCTGACACAACAAAATATTGCTAAAACACCGCATTCCAATAACACAAACTTCAAATAACACTTCGCGGAAACACAAACGAGGTGTTCATATAACATTTTCACTGAAATAACACGGTTCCAATACAACGCAAGAAGTGAAACAATTCTTGTATAAAACGGAATTATATAAATAATAAACAGAAAACACACAGAACTTTCGGTAATACCGCACCAATAACACGGATTCCAAATAACACGGTGTTTGTATATTAAATAGCATATTGCACTAAAATATTTCGAAGATTACATTCTTAGCCAAAAATGGTGGCAGGAGTATATTGACCAATGTTGAAATATGTACACTACGTTATGTATTTAAAGCTAAAGAATTAGAAGGCATTCATGGGATGTTTCTTTGTCCCTTTTGTAAGCTTCTAATACCTTCAATAGTCAATGTGAACAACTTTCATTCATCATTTTATGTAATGTTTGATCGGTGATACTAGCAAAACGGCAAGAATATATTTTGTATTATACAAATAGAAAATACGTTTGGATAAATAAAATACAAAATGCTTTTCTCAAAAAAGTATCCATTTAAATGCAAGATAAAAATAGGTATTTTTTATTTTGTTTTTGAATTTTAAATGTAAGTATTTCAAATAAATCACATTTGGTATCGCTACACCTCAATAACACGGATTTCAATTAACACGGTTCAAACGCGTAACACAGTTACACAGTATTCACAACACTAAAATAACACGATAACAATAATATATCATGGTGTGAAAATGGGGCTGCAATATCTAAAAGGAATTCTACTACTAAACGAAATTCCTGACACAACAAAATATTGCTAAAACACCGCATTCCAATAACACAAACTTCAAATAACACTTCGCGGAAACACAAACGAGGTGTTCATATAACATTTTCACTGAAATAACACGGTTCCAATACAACGCAAGAAGTGAAACAATTCTTGTATAAAACGGAATTATATAAATAATAAACAGAAAACACACAGAACTTTCGGTAATACCGCACCAATAACACGGATTCCAAATAACACGGTGTTTGTATATTAAATAGCATATTGCACTAAAATATTTCGAAGATTACATTCTTAGCCAAAAATGGTGGCAGGAGTATATTGACCAATGTTGAAATATGTACACTACGTTATGTATTTAAAGCTAAAGAATTAGAAGGCATTCATGGGATGTTTCTTTGTCCCTTTTGTAAGCTTCTAATACCTTCAATAGTCAATGTGAACAACTTTCATTCATCATTTTATGTAATGTTTGATCGGTGATACTAGCAAAACGGCAAGAATATATTTTGTATTATACAAATAGAAAATACGTTTGGATAAATAAAATACAAAATGCTTTTCTCAAAAAAGTATCCATTTAAATGCAAGATAAAAATAGGTATTTTTTATTTTGTTTTTGAATTTTAAATGTAAGTATTTCAAATAAATCACATTTGGTATCGCTACACCTCAATAACACGGATTTCAATTAACACGGTTCAAACGCGTAACACAGTTACACAGTATTCACAACACTAAAATAACACGATAACAATAATATATCATGGTGTGAAAATGGGGCTGCAATATCTAAAAGGAATTCTACTACTAAACGAAATTCCTGACACAACAAAATATTGCTAAAACACCGCATTCCAATAACACAAACTTCAAATAACACTTCGCAGAAACACAAACGAGGTGTTCATATAACATTTTCACTGAAATAACACGGTTCCAATACAACGCAAGAAGTGAAACAATTCTTGTATAAAACGGAATTATATAAATAATAAACAGAAAACTCACAGAACTTTCGGTAATACCGCACCAATAACACGGATTCCAAATAACACGGTGTTTGTATATTAAATAGCATATTGCACTAAAATATTTCGAAGATTACATTCTTAGCCAAAAATGGTGGCAGGAGTATATTGACCAATGTTGAAATATGTACACTACGTTATGTATTTAAAGCTAAAGAATTAGAAGGCATTCATGGGATGTTTCTTTGTCCCTTTTGTAAGCTTCTAATACCTTCAATAGTCAATGTGAACAACTTTCATTCATCATTTTATGTAATGTTTGATCGGTGATACTAGCAAAACGGCAAGAATATATTTTGTATTATACAAATAGAAAATACGTTTGGATAAATAAAATACAAAATGCTTTTCTCAAAAAAGTATCCATTTAAATGCAAGATAAAAATAGGTATTTTTTATTTTGTTTTTGAATTTTAAATGTAAGTATTTCAAATAAATCACATTTGGTATCGCTACACCTCAATAACACGGATTTCAATTAACACGGTTCAAACGCGTAACACAGTTACACAGTATTCACAACACTAAAATAACACGATAACAATAATATATCATGGTGTGAAAATGGGGCTGCAATATCTAAAAGGAATTCTACTACTAAACGAAATTCCTGACACAACAAAATATTGCTAAAACACCGCATTCCAATAACACAAACTTCAAATAACACTTCGCAGAAACACAAACGAGGTGTTCATATAACATTTTCACTGAAATAACACGGTTCCAATACAACGCAAGAAGTGAAACAATTCTTGTATAAAACGGAATTATATAAATAATAAACAGAAAACTCACAGAACTTTCGGTAATACCGCACCAATAACACGGATTCCAAATAACACGGTGTTTGTATATTAAATAGCATATTGCACTAAAATATTTCGAAGATTACATTCTTAGCCAAAAATGGTGGCAGGAGTATATTGACCAATGTTGAAATATGTACACTACGTTATGTATTTAAAGCTAAAGAATTAGAAGGCATTCATGGGATGTTTCTTTGTCCCTTTTG